AAACAGTTAAACGGGCAGATTATATAAAACACAGATTTTACTAATTAAAAGAATATACAAACATAATATTCGGCTAAATACTAATCTATGAGAAAACGTACAGCCTTGGGCATTTTAGCTGCCGATACTTCATCATCCGTTATACATTCACTTCGATCAAGATAAGAACGCATTCCGTGCACAGTTTTCTCAATTTCCATTAGTGAGTCTCTAAATCGTTGGTGTCCCTCACTAGAAATGTCGTTAGGTACATTTTCCTGTTCATTATAAAAGCGATTGCATAGCATTCTTAACCGTGAAGCGGAACGCTCCATATCACGTAGATGTATCAATGCTAATGCATTAAAATCACTTCTTAAATTATTAGAGTTCGAAGTGGAACTATTTGAGGTMAAGTTTTGATTGGTTTCTTTTGCTATATTTGGTGTGTTTTTTGTGGATGAGTCAATACAATCGTCGTACTTTAACACTTTCTTCGTTATGAATCTTCCTGGCAACGATGACTGCACGAAACATTCATTATTACTTAAGGACGACGTTTTAATGGGCGATGGTGAATGTGAAGGTGTGTTGAATAAGTGCAATTTATTTATTGGCTTTTTCAATAAAGCATCCTTGACAATGCTGAGGTTTAATGCAATTCGACTTGAGTTTAATGAATCGCTTAGTGTGGCACAGTCGTCCCCTTCCAGTGGTTCCCAGTTCATATCTACACAATTGAACACATTGTGGCCATTTAAATCTTCATTGTTACGCACCATATCGAGCCACACACTAAGCCTAGCGATAGGCCATTCGGCCTTACGTTGATGAAATTTATCATGTAGCAACACGACGGTATGGAATATTCCGAATTCGTCAAGAACCTGTGAGTGTCGAAACTCTACCTGCATGCCTAAACTTCGGCAACGTTGCGTAGCTTCCTTTACCTGTAAATTATAATCAATTTATAGTTCGTTTTCAAAAAGTAAAAATCTATGAAAAATCTTATCTTTATATTACAATAGCAATGTTTGATTCGGAAAGTAGAGAAATTACTTATACTTTTATGATAGGGGTTAAAACTTTGTTAATGCTCTCTTTTTAAAGGAAGCAGAGCTCAAATGCAAAAGGCAAGGTGCAACGAACACATCTTCAACAACAATATGTAGCAGTTTTTGTATGTCTTTCAAMAAAAGCAATACATCTAGAAGCTTCCATTATATGCCATAAGCGATGATAATGGAATAGATGCGTTAACACCAGGACACTTTTTAATAGGAAAACCTTTATTATCAATTCCCTCTTCAGGTACGGATGTAAACATTTCCTCGTTAAACAAATGGAAATTAATACAAAAAATTCACCGAGACTTTTGGAATCGGTGGAAAGATG